GTGATGCGCCGCCGCTGAGCCCCTCGCTTCCTCGTGGCGCGCCATGGCCAAGCCGCCCGTGCGCTTAGCCTCCGTGTCCGCGTGACGCGCAGCCGAGGAGCACCGCCTCCGCATGATCGCCCCATGGGCCTGCCCAGCGCCAAGCAGGCGGGGGGTGGGGGGGCGGCGGCGAGGAGGGGAGTGGGGAGCAGCAGGATTGGGGGCAGCGAGGAGGGGAGTGGGGAGCGGAGCGGCGGGACAGTGAGGAGGGGAGTGGGGAGCGGCGGGTGGGAGGGATTAGGGGCATGGCCGCGTGGGGCAGGCAGGATAAGGATGTGAGGGGCAACGGGTGAGGGGAGTAGGAATTTATATCTAGGCTTGTACCTCTGTATTGGGCTGGGCCGTATTCTTATGGGCCTTTAGACTTAGTTTGGTTATTTTGGGTATTTCGGTTAACCGAGCACGAGAACCGAAATAACTGTAGTAATTTCGATTTTTCAGAACTGGAATCGAACATTTCCGAATATTTCGGTTTTGGTTATTTCGGTTCGGTTCTCGGTTGTCGGTTATTTTTGCCCAGATTGACACGCAGGGCTGGATCTCCGGAACTGGCTTGCTCCACAGCTCGACAGCTGCTGCCCAATGTCGCGTTGCTGTTATATGACTATGACTTTATGTGATTACATGGTCCCGACGACGTCATGCCGGCGTGGCACTCATCGAATGTCGCTGAGTTCACGCCCAAACCCAATTTTGATAAAAAAATGACTAGCCTATGGAATTTTGACAGCTTTTTTTATACTATACTCCCTCCGTTTAAAATTATAAGTCGTTTTTGGCTCTTTTAGATTTTTTTTTGTTATGTATCTAGACATAACTTATATCTAGATACATAGCAAAAACTATGTATCTAGAAAAGCCAAACTAATAAACTACTTCCTGCGTTATATATTATAAGATGTTTTGGCTTTCCTAAATTCATTGTGTTTGTTATGTACCTAAATATACAATTATGCGTAGATACGGAGTGAAAACTCTATATCTAGAAATGTCATAGTTATTAGTTGGCCATAGGACTAAAGTTTGGTTCACCCATTAGCTTGCATACTGGATGGTTTATGACTATCTTTAGTTAGTCCAAATGATCTAAACAGGTCTTAACCAACTGAGCTACAGTTAATTCATGAGTTTCAACACCTATGTCGTTCATTACCATCAAGCATAAAATTCGGTGATCCCGTACCTCTACTTGTGGCTATATAGTCCAAGAATAAAATATTTACTTTCAGCTTTGGAACAAAAGATTCTCTGACATAAATGGTTCAAATAATTAAAGAATAAAATATTTTCTTTCAGCTTTTAGAACAAAAGATTTTCTCTGACATAAATGGTTCAAATAATTAAGTAGATATAGACTATATATAATAATCATGTTCTAATTTGCGAGAGATGAATTTTTTACTTACAATCAAGAAAAAAAATGCTAATGATGGGTTAATATGCTTAATAAATTCGTCCTTTCTCCAGAGCAAGTAGAATAATTAACTCATGACCTCCTAATTAGAGGAACCTTATAGTTACATACAAAATTTACCTTTACAAACACCATCTCCCTTAATCACTTCAAAGTAGTAATATGCAAATTTAAACTCCACACGAGCACTAATAGTTACAACAAAAACCTTTACACAACCATCTCCCGTAATCACTTCAAAGGGTAAATTTAAACTCCACGGAACTAATGGGAACAAAAGCTTTCTTTAGAAAAAAAATAAGGGACAACAAAGTTGAGCAGAACAATAAAGCCATCTTTGGCAGGCTTCGACTTCTTACGGCTCCTTGCAAGGAGCCCTGCTAAACGAGCATCTAAAAAACAGCTCCTTACGAGGAGCCAGAGTCGTTTTTATATAGAGGAGCCGAGAGCAAAAAAAAAAGAAGTGGTTTAACATTGCTCCCCCTCACAACAAATTATTACAAAACTATCACTGGAGTTGTTTTTTCTGAATATTTTCTAAATTGGCTTTAGCTTCCCTAAAGAAGCTGCTTCACTTGAGGAGGCAGAGCTCTTTTAGAAGGAGGCGAGAACCTTAACAAACGGGCTTTGATATAACAACTTGTAGCCCATGGAGAAATGGGAGGGAGAAACACAATAAGTGACGAGTAACGGTTAGAAATAAGAATAAAACCAAAGTACTGCTTGACAGCTTGAGTGCTTTTACACATTTAGAAACGGAGGGCTAGCTGCTGCCATTAATTTCTTCTAAGCTAGCAGATGCCAAGTTTTTTTTATCACGAAAAGCATCCTCATTCCTTTTGTCGGATTGGTCCTCCAGTAGGTCCTAATTTCCAGTGGCAAAGCCAAAACTTGATATTAAGGGAAAGGGGGTACTTATCTTAAACTGATGCCAGTTATATACAACTCAATCCCAGTGAAACTCTGCTAGTAGTTGTGAAATTGACGCAATTCTCTATACTTCAGCGTGTGAAAGCTGGAGTATTAGTAGAGCATGAATGTTGTTCCTTCGTGAGTGTGAAAGTTACCGCTGCTTGCAAAAGGCTACATAATTTATATGGCATATTTGATAACAAATTATGCAACGATTTAACGATAATGATATGACTAGCCTATGAAACTATGCACCGAGAGAGGGACTATTTCATTCATAAATCTAAATCCATAAAGCTAATGTAGTACTCTATTTGATCTTATTTTTTGTTGTGAGAATTTGGATTCTAGACTAAAAAATGAGTGTTGTTTGAATCCAAGATTATTTTGTTATATTTGCATAGAAACTATTTCCCTAGGATTTTTTGAAAGTTCTCCTAGTAGGATTTTGGCAGATATTTGGATAAAAAAACTGCCCCTAGAATCTAATATTTGGACTTATTTATTATTTCTCTACCTCATTGTTATGTCCCAGTATTATTTCTCTACCTCATTGGTGGAGCTCAAACAAGGACCTTACTCGGCCTCAGGGGGGTAACCACATTTTCGTATAATCATGATACACATCTATGATCAAGAAAATCAATACGACTAGATCTAGGATCCGGGTACTAGGAAAAGACCTTCACGAATTTCTATAAATGTGCTATAATAGAAAACATTATTTTAGGGTATCAATTTAACTTGTCACCTTTTACAAGTTGCGTTATTTTACTAAACCGTGTCATAATCAAATGGAGGTGATGACAACATTGAACTGTACAATGTTTTAAATGATGTCTATTTGGAGGTGATGTCAACTAATGAACATGAGTTTATCTTAAAATATTACATATGCCGAAATCATCATTATGTTCTTTCGTTTACACAATGTTCTAGCATTTTTACCACAGTTCGGCTGGGATGGGACAGAACTTGCTGGCTGCCTTCGCGACGTGGAAGAAAAAAAAAAGCACTACAAGAAAAGGGCCTTCGCGACGTGGATGAAAAGGGCTGGGACTGAAACTGGGCCTTTGAAGAAAAACTGAAAAAGGTGGATCAAATGGGCCGGGAGCCCGGGACTGAAACTGGGCCTTCAAAGAAAAACTGAAAAAAAATACAAAATGGAGATGCGGGGTATTTCTACCACCCAAGCATGCTAAGCGAGGCTCTACCACCTGAGCTACATCCCTTCCTTGTTTTATTGCATTAATGAAATAATTTATTTCTTTTACCTAGAGGTGCAGCTTTGTACTCGGATGGGCTGGGCTCTGGCCTCTCGGCCTGGCGTAGAACCCAAGCAAAATCCTGCCCGTTGGGTTGTGGGACGCAGCTTCGGCAAATGCACCATACTTGGGTGCAGTGAACTTTTGGATCCAAACGCTCTCAAAATCAATCAGGGACAGCTGACGCTGACGGAGAACGTGTGATCCATTTTCTTCAAAACACAAAGATTAAGGGGCACTTTAGTATGACTCCAGCTCCTCTTAAAAGAGAAATGACTCTGGCTGCTCTCGTGGAGTAACTTTTCTGATAGCGCTGAAATTGTTTGAAAAAGTGTGACAAAAACAACTTCAACTGTAATTTTGTTATAGTTTGTATCAAATTTATAACGAGGAGTTAGAAGAAGTCACCTTTTTATGACCCCCTCTGCCGAGTAAAAAAATGGCTCCAACTCCTTTGGACTTTATCATTGAAGCCATTTCTTAAATAGTCATTTAGCAGAACTAGAGCCAGAGCCACCCCTGAAACCTTGCCAAACGAGCTAAAAGAACCCAGTGACCTAAAGAGGCCAACTGTCTACTGCAACATATGCAGGCAAATGCAATCACATCTCTAAAAAACACCTAAATAAAAACACCCAAAAGGAAATGGTAGGCAACCGACCAAAAAGAACCGATTAAAGACCCCTAACAAATGCTGCACTACTCGTGCCACATCTAATCTGGCAGGACGGACCTGTCGCTCCACGGCGGGCCGTTTACATCGATTTATTCACGTTGATTTTTCCGTCCCTGGGTAGATTCTTCTCTACATGTCCTCGATGCAGGTGAACAAAGCTTAGCCGTACGTGCGTCCTCCCACTGATTGCTGTGGAAAACTGAAACATCTCGTATGTAATGCAATCCACGCGAAAAACCTTTTCTTTTAATCCCCTCCACGTACCAGACGGCCGGCCCTAGTGATCGTTGTGGTCGTTGCCCGTGTCCATGTAACCACCACCACCACCTCCAGCTCCAGGGTTTGCACCGCACGGCAAGCAGCGGCGTGGGCTGCCGAACCCCAAGTCCCCAACACCAACAGCGTCGGCGCGTGGGAATCGCGAGAAAAAGGCGATGAACAGCAGCCGAACAGGTCACACCGAAAGCGCAGCTGCGAGGCTGGTCTCCGCTGTTACGTCTCTGCTGCCCGCGTCTCCTCTCCACCCTCCTCTAGTCCATTCCAAGTCCCCCACCGGCCACCACCACCACCACGCCAGCCAGCCCCACCACGCCAGCCGAGTCTTCGACTCCAAGCCGCCGCCCCCCTGTTCCTCCTCGGTTCCGCGCACCGCGCCGCCCTTCGGGAGGAGAGGAGGCGGGTCAGGGCGACGCCGATGCACCCAAAGCTGTCGCGGACCGCCCGCAGGCTCCTCTGCTGCGGTGGGGCCGCCTCCCCGGAGGACCTGTAAGTCGCCAGCTCCTTGGCCTGCCTCTCCGCTTGCGTTGCTCCCCCTTTTGCGTTTCTGGGCTTGTCTGGGTTCCGCTGAAATCAGCCGCGGTGTGTGAGCTCCGCGATTGGTGTTGGTGTCGATAGATGTTTGGGGGTTCGTCTGGGGACATGATGGAATTCCGCTCGCTTGGCTGCTCGGTTCGCGGCGTTTTCTTCTTCATTGTTTTGACCACGCCGGATGTCACCGCGAAGGTTGCAAGTTTCTGCTAATACTAGTTCAATTCTTGTTTGCGTTCATGTGAATTTGCCAAATACTAAAGTGCGGTGCAAAATTTAACTGATTGGGGCTCCAATTTGGTGGAAAGTAGACACCTTGTTTTATTTCAGTACTACTGTTTAGTACAAGCTATGGCGGTGAGGTAAAATTAGTAGGGATTTGGGTGCTCCGAGTTTTGTTGTTTGTTTAGTGACACTAAGACCAAGGGAAAGCTTAAACTTTGGAGGCTTTTACCCGTATGCCATTATAAAAGATTGCAATTGTCTACTAGCCATTAAAAAGTTCGAGCGGTCATAGGTGCCTGCTACTGATGGTGTTAAATGGAGCTGCGAAAAGTCAAAACTGCCCTCTGGCCAGAGTACCTTGCTGAAAGTTGCGTTTTCCTTCCATGCCACTCCCTAGTTCTATGGCTTTGTGGCTTTGGCATTCGTCTGACAGTGTCAACTTGGGGCTTAATTAGCCGCTAATCTGAAGCGCAAATGACCCTGACACCTTAATAAAAGTCGTAGAGCTTAGGGGGAATGACAACTTTGTTGCAGCGGCCCAGACCGAATCAAAGTGAAATATGCCTCAAATGAGATTCCAAGATGCCTACTCGGGCATCTGACCCAAAGGATTATCCACATACAGCATAGAAGATCACCAAATAGCAGACGGGTTTGGATACCCAGGCTCACTCACAGGTACAGTAAAGCCTACTATGCTTTTACAAACAAGCAAGTTTTGCTTTATATTAGCAATTTTATAGCACCATAGGACCGATGGCCTCGGTACTGCTTTGCGAATCAGAATCAATCCTTTTTTTTCTAAGGATCCTCTCACTGCAGATTAGCCTGTAGGAGGCCATCTCTTATCTGCGCCGCTACATCCTTGACAGCTCCAGGACCATGGGGGATGAACACTGAAGAGGACTTGGAGGAGGCCCCAATCTCCTTCATGGTGTCGAAGTAGTGGACTACTGGGTGACCAGGACCATGTCCATGATGTACTTGGCTGTGGTGCTTGGAACCTTCTTTGAGAAGGCGAGCACACTGTCCCTCAGCCCGTCCACAATGGCCTGACGCTGCCTTGCAATACCCACGCCAGCCAGCCAGCCAGGCACTTGGATTCCGCCTCTCCTTCGCCTTTTTTGATCTGGAGTATCTTCTCAGCCGTAGCGCCAAACCAGCCCCGCTGTCGCGTCCGCCGCGTCGTCCTCCACGCACGGCGCAAGCTCGCCGAGCTGGGTGGCGTTAGGGGCCAACGAACGCCGCCGCCGGCCGCAGCCAGTGCACCACCGAGAGCTCGCTCCTCCAAGCCTCCTCCACCCTAACTGGCTGCTCCCTCGCCTTCCCCATCTCCCCGTCGTGCGCGCGCTCTCTCCGTTCTGTTGCGCCATCGGCGCCAGAATACCCCGGGCGCCACTCGGTTTGTTTCTCCGCCGTGCCACAGGCTCGCGTGGCCAGGAGGCCACGCCGTCGCGTCATGAAGCCGAGTCCGCTTCGGTGCGCTTCGCTCATCGCCACCTCTTGCCGCGCCGCGCCTTTGCCTCTCGCGACATCACCGCCGCCACCGACCGGATTTGGCAAGCCGAGCCCTATCCCCTGCCGCTGCGTCACATTGAAGAAGGACGCGCGCCGCATAATAGAAACGATTGCATGAGCGGCGGGCGCGCTCAAGCTCAAGCGGCGGCGGGCTCCGAGAGACGACCAGAGCGAAGCGGGGCAGCAAGCGTAAGCAAGCGACGGCGGGGCAGCGGCGTGGCCAAGAGAAGCGGCGGTGGAGGCGGCGGGAGGAGGCGGTCGGGGTGGGCTAGCACGGGGCAGGGATGTGGCCCCGCCGGGCGGAGGATGGCGCGAGAGGATGCTACGGGCGGCCAGGTGGATCGGGTGAAGGAGAAGAGGAAGGAGAGGATAAGGTACGGTGGGAGAGGGGCATTTTGGACATCTTTACTAACCGGGCCCACATGTCAGGGCAGCTAAACGGTGAAAATTGGATGGAAGATGGACGGAATGGCGTGGGCGACAAAAAAGTTTCGGTCAGTGGCACATGTGACCGCACAAACTTTTTAGTGGCTTGCAGGTAATTACAATCTTTTATAATGGTATACAGTTAAATGCCTCTAAACTTTGGTGGCAGACGATTCCAGCTTTATTTCTGTTCCTCAGCTTCAGAAATAACTATGAAATGGTGTGGAAATTTGGCCTGTTGGTCTTGTTTGATGAACCATCCTAAAATTCATGATCGATTTTCTATGCTTGGATTAGGTAAATTTGTCCTAGGGGCACAAGGGGGTTTGTATCAGTGGAACTGGATATGAGTTGATCAACCTATTCTATGCTTGGAAATTCAGTTGATAGTAGCTCATCATGTATTTAATTGCTTTGGTTTGTCAGGTCTGATGAACGAAGTGGATCATTGAGGTGGGTGTTCTCATTGAGAGAGCTTCGATCAGCAACAAACAGCTTCAATTACGATAACAAGATTGGAGAAGGGCCACTTGGGAGTGTGTATTGGGGACAAGTTTGGGATGGTTCTCAGGTTTCTGCTCTGTACATCTTCATCCTTGCTGAGAATTAAAATTTCAACTTTATTGCCTTTAATTTTCTTGCCTGCCAGTTCAACCAGTCACAGTTATTTTTGCACAGCTGCGAACATTTTATTGGTACCTATCTCACTAAATAACAGAACAACTACTTATATTATTTTGGTTTTGTTTTGGGACATTGATCTTTGATTGCGTTATTATTAGGTAGGTAGGATATGTTGTCATTGGGAAGTCAACAAAAAAAATTTATATGAACTGGCTACAGGTTTGCATATCTCCATCTTGTGTAAATAAAAAATAAAAATGCCTGCATTACCCAGTCATGGTGCCAACTGTTGGATGTGTCTTCTTTAAAATTATGATTGAGGTCACATGATCCTGCGGAGTAGCCTTCTTTTTAAGCATTGTTAAAAGAATCAGTATAATGCTTAATAGACAAATAAAACCCATCTCTTAGGTATGCTATGTTGTGTCCAGATAATGCAAATTGACTGGCTGGGAATATTGTGACAACGTGCCATTCCATGCATCATTCTCTGTATCCAGCTTTGATATTATATAAAACTAAATTGAATCCAATGTAACCTACTGATTGACTTTACCAATCTTCATTAATGCAGATTGCTGTCAAGAGGTTAAAGAATGCAAAGAATGGCACAGAAGTGGAATTTGCTTCAGAAGTCGAAATATTGGGAAGAATAAGACACAAAAATCTCCTGAGTTTTCGTGGATATTGTGCAGATGGACCCGAACGCATTCTGGTGTATGACTATATGGTGAACTCAAGTCTCTATGCACATCTTCATGGAACACATTCTGCAGAATGTCTCCTTGACTGGCGGAGGAGAGCATCTATTGCCATTGGCACTGCTCGAGCTCTCTTGTCAGTAAACGACCTCTTTATCTTTGCTCATAACAGAACAATATTGATAACTCATACATTGTTGCTTTTGTTAAACACTGTGACAGACATAACTCAAGTATTTTCGCACAGGTACCTTCATCACCATGCAACACCTAAGGTAATCCATGGAAGCATCAAGACTACCAATGTGTTACTGGATTCAAACTTCCAGGCACATGTTGGTGATTTCGGTCTGATAAGGCTTATTCCTGATGGAATGGACCATGAAAAGATAACCAACGAAAGTCAACGAGGCTATCTTGCTCCTGAGTACATTATGTTCGGCAAACCAACTGCAGGTTGTGATGTATACAGCTTCGGAATAATACTATTGGAGCTTGCGAGTGGCAAAAGGCCGATAAAAAAGTCGGGTTCTGTCAAGACATATGGTATTCGAAACTGGGTGCTCCCACTGGCAAGGCAGGGTAGATATGATGAAATTGCAGACTCAAAACTCAGTGACAAGTTCTCTGAATCTGAACTGAGAAGAATGGTGTTAGTTGGGCTAGCATGTACGCATTCAGAATCTGAAAAGAGACCGACAATGCTTGAAGTTGTGCCATTGCTGAAAGGAGAATCAAAAGAGACCCTTCTTAAGCTTGAAAGAGATGAGCTGTTCAGCTCAGACTCGATGGTGAGTTCGCAGGGAACACCAACCCCAGATGGGAGCACAGACTCTGCGCCAAAGAAAGATCAAGAACTGGTTGGTTCGTGAACTGTGATATATTGGTACTGTAGGCGATGGTAGAATGCATATTTGTGGTATTGATGATTGGTTTGTGCGGTTTGACATGAATGGAAATTGTATAGGCATTGTTTTCTGTAAGGAGTTTTTTTTCCTCCCTTGAGAGAGTAAGGAAGAGCGAGGGGGTTGCAGATAGTTGTTATGCGAAGTGCTTTTTGTATGCACCACATAGAAAATGCACATGTTTTCCAGATGTTTGTATATTTCTCTGATCATGTTGTTCTCATACTAATTTGCCCAGAATGCTTGTCCTTTAATTTGCAGATATACCAATATACAATGAGAAAATTCAATTATTTCACTAGCTAGTAGCTATTTCGAGACTGAAATTTCGCTTTGGCTTTTTCTCCCGTGGTCGCAATTTCCATAATGCATGCCGTCTCATGTCGCATTCAGACCTTGTTGGCAAAGTGTCCGTTCAGTTTTTTTTTTTTTTTTTTTATGACGAAACAAGTGTCCATTCAGTTGCAAGCTACTCTTTGCAAAACCTTTATGTCAGGTGATTAGCGCTCTGTTTACTTAGGCTTGTCTGACTGATAAGTCATGGACTGAAAATACTGTTGGCTGATTTAGCGTGAAAGAAAAGTACCGTTCGTTGGCTGAAAAAGTACGGCTTATAAACCAAATAATCCCAAACGAACAGCAAGAAACTAGACCTCTAAGAGACAAAACAGCAACTGTCTTAGGCAAAGCACATCAATAAACGTGGCCAGTTCTCTTTGAATTTAGTTGAGATGTGAGACACGGTTGGCAGTTGGTACGTGAAAACAACTGAAAGGCGCGATGGCACCCAGCCTTCGGAATATTATATCCATATAAAGCATAAAAAACCACAAAGACCAGAATCCCCAGTCAGCAGCAGTAGTTGAAGGGCAAAGCAAAGAGCCGCCACAAAACAGTTTATTTTGTAAGTAAAAAAAAACCAAACGCGGCAAGCGTAGCGTCTGCTTTGTTCCCCGTCATGGCCCCATCCAACTCCTTGATTCGATCGGATTGGGATTCCCGCACGCTTTTTTCCTGTAGCGTCGTCCATCCAACTTGTTAAAGGTAGTAATGATCCCGTTCGCTGGTCTGATGGCCCGTTCGCTGGTACGAAACTTGGCTGAAACTGGCTGAAAAAATACTGTTTTGGCTAAATTGTCGTGAGAGAAAAACACTGTTCCGGCTAAAAAAAAAGCCGAACAAACCGAATATGGGGTAAACCGAACATGACCAATATATCATATATGTATGCATTAATAGCCCCACGGATCTTAGGGCATGTTGATTCTACGATAGAAGTGATTCTCTTTGATTCTTTATGTAAGCTTTCAAAATCACGAAAGAGAATCACTTTATATAGTCAGGAGAAGCTATTTTTTCCAGCTCTTAGCTCTTAATTTGTTTTAAGAATCATTTCGTAGAATCAGTAAAGAATCATTTCTTTCTGAAAAATTATTTGGCAGAGGTCCTACTGAATTCAGCAGAGAATCAGCTCTGAGAGCTCTGTCAAACGCGGTGTTAGTGCAATTGACCTACACTAGCTTCTTGCGGCTAAGTAGAAATGAAGCTACATTTGACAAATCACTAGCCAAATGTTCTATGCAGGTTATCTTCATGTGGGACGTACTGATTGTGACATTGGGCCTTGCTAAGTGATGAAAGGAAAAGACCAATGATGCCGAGATTTCTATTTCTATTTCTATATATCTATTATTATAAAGTTAATCTCCACTATAAGTTCATCTCAACATGCAAACGATCCACATCATTTCTTGCTAACTATCTACATCATCTCCCACTAACCATGTCATCCCACTAACTTTCAACCACTTAATTGCAAGCTATCCACATCATCTCCACTTAATTTCATTTCAAATTCTAGGCAATTTCCACAAGTTATCCACATAATCTCCACTTAATTTTATTCTAAATTCTTCATAATCCCACAACAACGAGCAAGGTATCTTCTAGTCTCTTATAAAAGCTAATCTCACCATCTTTCAATCTACACATACAAGATATCTACATGTCACACCCCACTAAGTGCAACATCATCCCCTATAGCGGCGGAGCTAGGGGGTGCTGGCAGGGCCATGGCCCCCCTAACATTTCATAACAAAAAAATTTACTAGTATAACTTTATAATTTTTTATTAATATTAAGAGGGAGAATATACAAAATTCTTATCATATATATCTATTGTCGATAATAAAATCATAGGAAACACAACTAGATAATAAAATCGTCCCTTGAGCATCTTCGAAAGATTGAGTCGGTACTCACAATTTATAAAGTCATCCTAGACGTCTTGTCATCAACGGGCATATCACTTATGTAGGATCTCTGGTACGCCTAGAGGGGGGTGAATATGCCTGTAAAAATTCAACTTAAATCGAAATCAAATTCACCTGCGGCACTACCGCTCTGTGAGCGCGGCACTGCCGCACCTGCAAGAGAGATTAGTTCATAGTTCAAAATCTACCCAACGAAATTTAGATAGGATAAATTTCTTAGCTTCATGCAGGGTGGTAGATCATAGATCGATAACTGAAAATGGTGTGAACACCACACACAAGTAGATCGGCCTCAATCCTAGAAATTATCTCAACAACAACAAGAACACAAGTGTAGCAACACAAGCACAAGATGACACAAGGATTTATCCTGTGGTTTAGTTCGCCACCAAGGCTTGCCTAAATCCACGTTGTTGAGGTATACCACTAAGGCTTAGGGATTTGTAACCCTACCTCGTTCTCAAGTCAAGAGAGTGAATTCTTGAGATGAGGGGTGATTTTACTTGCTATAAGAGGTGGTTACAAACCTCCCAGGGCTACCACACAAGTTGGTAAGCTCCTGGACGACGCTCTAGCCGGCTAGGAGCCAAGCTCTAAGAGTAACAAACACAACCACCAGCTAAAACATGAACCAAGTGCTCTTTAGAGTTTAGGAATCAATGGAATTGCTCTATAATCAAGTTGTGGACCCTTTTCTCTCAAGGATTGATGGAGAAATCAATGGATTTATTTGGGGGCTTTAGGTCAACAATAGAGTGAGAGAGAGAGAGCTCCTGCTCTATTTTGGACGTGCTAAAGTGAGGAAGAAGAAAGCAGGTTGGTTCATTACCGTTGGGAAGAAAGGAGAAAGGTATATATATATACCCAGCCCCCAACGGTCACTTTAAATCGCAGATAGCCATTGACGAGGAAAGGGAAAGGTATATATACCCCCAGCCCTCAATGGACGCTACACCTAAGAGGTCGAGCGAGATGAGGCCGTGACTAAAGGGTCGGGCGAACCAGAGCCCGCGCCCAAAGGGTCGGCCGAGTTGGAGCTCGCACCCAAGGGGTTGGGCGAGTCGGAGCTCGCACCACGCAAGACAGTAAGGGTAAAAGTAAAGTGTAGATTGTATTGGCTATGAATCTGAGGATGCTTGTGGTTGTTAGAGCACTTGGTAGCATATATTAGCTTAAGCATTGTGCCCCCCTTTATAGTATGGCTTTTCTATACTCAAATTCAATATATAAAAGCATTTAAACCTCTTTTGAGTTTGATGCCATCTACATTTATAATTGGAGGCTCCTCCGTTCCGTGTAGCATCCTCGAATATAAATTCTCTGTTTGTCATCTTGATAAATCTCATTAGTTCTCTAATTGCGTGGTCATTATCACCAAAACCCATAATTAAGGCTTGATTGCACTTTCAACTTATCACTATAAGAATAGTGTATTAGATCCTAGGATACATATAAGAAAATGTGAGCACTCGTCAAGTCAATGAATTAACTCGGTTGGTCACCATGAGGAACCTAAGCTAGTTGCGCTCAATTTTGACATGTTGGTTCTTTTTGGCCGCCCCCTAAGTATTATTCTTGGCTCCGCTCCTGATCCCCTAGTAAGTACCACAACATCTTCCACTAAATGCAATTACTATTTTTGGTCTATCATCATACAAAGCATCCATGTTGTACTATTTATTCTGCCGTCACATTCTCTTATAATTCGATCTAATATTCTACAAGTGTTTTATTTGATTCTTCCATGAGCTTATCCAGTTTTGATATCATATCTCACTAAGTGCCACATCACCCCGGTGCTAATACAACATCTTCCACTAAATGTGACAACTATTTTCGTTCTATCACCATACAGAGCACCCAAGTTGTACTGTTTATTTATTTGGCATTCACATTTTTTCTATAATTTGATCTAATATTCTATAAGCGTTTTATTTGATTCTTCCATTAGCTTATCCAGTTTTAACATCATATCGATCTCATACATGTAATGATACAACTATTTTATTTCTATGAAAATCCCACGGCAACTCATGGGTATTCTTCTAGTATCTTTGTAGGATCTCTGGTACGTCTAGAGGGGGGGTGAATAGGCCTGTAAAAATTTAACTCAAACCGAAGTCAAATTCACCCACGGCACTGCCGCTCTGAGTGCGCACTGCCTCACCAAACAGCGGCACTGCCACACCTGCAGGAGAGATTAGTTCACAATTCAAAATCTACTCAACAAAATCTAGATCGGGTAAATTTCTTAGCTTCCTGCAGGACAGTAGATCACAGATCGACAGCTGAAAGTGGTGGAAACACCACACACAAGTAGATCGGTCTTAAACCCTAGAAATCACATCAACAACAACAAGAACATAAGTGTAGCAACACAAGCACAAGATGACACAAGGATTTATCCCGTGGTTCAGCTCGCCACCAAGGCTTGCCTAAGTCCACGTTGTTGAGGTATACCACTAAGGCTTAGGGCTTTGCAATCCTGCCTCATTCTCAAGTCAAGAGAGTGAACTCTTGAGATGAGGGGTAATTTTACTCGCTGCAAGAGATGGTTACAAACTTCCCGGGCTGCCACACAAGTTGGCATGCTCCATGGGCGATGCTCTAGCCGGCAAAAGCCAAGCTCCAAGAGTAACAAACACAACCACCAGCCAAAACATAAACCAAGTGCTCTTTCGAGTAGGGGAATCA